GATGATGATGATGATGATGATGATGATGATGATGATGATGATGATGATGATGAAACTGTTGTCATGCCGATGTTTTCATGCAGTCATGAGCACAGCACCATACGCTCCAAATATCGTTGTCAGACAATTGGTTCTCCCTGCCTGCTTTGCTTTGATCACAGCTTTCAGACACAATGTTTGTTTTTGTTTTTCCCTCGTACACATTGTTCTTCTTTTACACCAATACACAGTGTTCTTCTTTCAGGTTTTTTGTTTTGTCAAACACAATGTTATTCTCTCAGAGTCCTCCTCCACAGACAATGTTCTTTCTCCGTATACAATGTTCTTCCTTCCCGAGCCTTCCTTGCCACACAATGTTGTTCTTTCATCTTCAAAGCCAAATAAATATGAAACAATGCTAATTATTTATTTATTGCTGAAGAGCGCCACTGGTATAGGTCTTTCTTCTTTTTATTCCCTCTATCGTCTCTGTCTTACTCTCTTCCTGCACCGAGTGAGTCATTGTGTTCATGCGCTTTATTTTGCTTACACAAGCTATATCAGGTGCTTCATTTTACTGAAACAAGCCGTATCTTGTGCTTTACCTTGCTGAAACAAGCAGTATTATGTGCTTTACCTTGCTGAAGCAAGCAGTATTATGTGCTTCATTTTGCTCAAACAAGCAGTATCATGTGCTTCAATTCGCTGAAACAAGCCGCATTAACCGCCGGTTTTGTCTGTAGTGTCCAAGAGGGAGGAGAAGTTCCACGACGCAGCCAGGGTCAACGACGCGGCAGCCCTGAGAACTTTACTCAAAGAGAGGGTCAACGTCAACTGTCGGAACAGCGTAAGTGTCTATTATAGTTATAGCAAGTCACGAGCGTGATCATACAAACCTGTTGAAAATAACCAAGATGATAAGAATAGAATATCAGTGATTCTAATGATAATAAATAATGATGATAATGGAACACTATTTCTGGTCACGGTAGTAGTAATATTACTGATGAAACATTAATAACCAAGAAGAAGAAGAAGAAGAAGAAGAAGAAGAAGAAGAAGAAGAAGAAGAAGAAGACAAATTTTTGTAAGTGTTTTTTCGGCCCTCGCAACTGTTTAAGGTCATAACATGTGTTTTCGCATCAACATACAAACGAATAAACATGGGTATGTGTGCGAGTGCGTCATGTATCATAACTTCCCTTGTGCCCACCCCAATGGTTCTACTTCCCTGCGTTATCACTCGGAGTTGTTTATCGTGTAGACTTTGTCACCGTATTGGTGTCTGTGGTTCAACTGAAAGGATCTTGGCCTTCGCACCCAGAAGATGTAAATGCCATTCCCGAGGGGGGAAGTCGTTTATCGAGTATCCCTGCCCTACCTGTCTGCTGGACCATTGTATACCGTCGAGCCCAGGGTGGCCTACGTTCTAACTAATCTGAATGCGTCGATTGTGACGCAATACACTACACTTAAATGACCAGCCGTCCTGTGGCTGGGAGACAGGTCAGAACCAACGTCTACAGTATAAACTCTGTGTACAGTTATGGCGTTGGTCAGAACCATTAACGGAAACTTTGTCTTCTACTCTTTTTGGTACCCTTCACTAAGATTATACCCTTAATTAAGTTTGAAGGAAAATTACATAGAATCAGCATGTGACGATCAAAGGGAAAAAAGAATCATTTTTACCACAGTTTTGCAAACGTCTGAAGAATTTGATTAAGCTGCAGGAAGTCGCAAAGATTTATTTACAAGCTTTTTTTCTTTCTTGTCACGTGTCCTGAAGAGAGCGCTACTGGGAGATGAGTAGATGAGTATACTCATCGGCGGTCGCTTGAGTGTAAATTAAGCTGTCAATATAGGATTCACAATTACTGTTAATACATCAATTCTGTACTTCGTGTTTTTCAGTTGGACAGAACCGCTCTTCACTGGGCTGCCGCGAACGGGAACCTGGACGCTGTAGAAGTGCTGATAGAAGCCAAGACAGATCTCGAAGCCAAGGACAAGGTATACGCTCACGGCTTTGGTGGGAATCGCAGAAAAGGTGGTCCTTGTCCTGTCGAACCTCCCTCGCATTCGGAGTTTATTCACCTAAATTGACGAATACCCCCACCACCTCCTCAAACCACACACACACACACACACACACACACACACACACACACACACACACACACACACACACACACGCACACACGCACACACACACACACACACAC